ATGTAAAGGTACAATTCCCAATGAGAAATGTAATTGTGTTGTATACCTACAATGTACCAATAAAAGAATTTAATACCAAAAAAAAAGAAAAAAAAAACAATAAAGCAGCACTGGGTCCAGGTATTTAGCTCAATGGTTCCACCACGTGCCTTGAAAGTGCAAGTTCCCAAGTTCAATCCCCAGTACCAAAAACAAAACAAAACAAAACAATAAAGCAGCATGTTCTGATACATCAAATATAGAAGTTAAAATAAGGAACTATGCAAACATCAAATATTATGATTATTAAAATACTATGCAATATATTATTAGAATTATATAAATATAAAATTAATCCAATTTCTCCTTTGATCTATACTTAAGTATAAAGTTATGCTTAGTATTTTGCACAATGTAAAATTTAAAAATACTTCTTCAGTTGCTGTTAGGAGATGTGGGTTCTAGGCTTCTTTTTTGCTTTTAAATACCAAGCCATATGTTGATTAGCCAGCTAAGCCAATCTGTGCCTTTGTTTTTCTTTCTAAAAAATGGAAATAATAGTACTTACTTATTCTACCTTCCTCATCAGTGGAACAGAGTAATAAAATGAGTATTTCAACTTCCCAGATGTTAACTGGGTTAAGAGATAGGGTCAGGTAACTTTAAACTCAACCTCATGATCATACTTGATGTACAGGGACAGGGACATAACCCTAGGAATCAAAAGACTTCAAAACTTCCTAGAGCCAGTTATTAAGTTGTATTTTCTTTATTCATAAATGAGTGCCTACTATTTATCAAGCCTTGAGCTTAGAACTAGAACAAAGTAGACATTGTTTCAACCATCTCAAAGCATAGATTATAATCAACCTCAATTGATTTGATTTAATCTTTTGAAAGTACGACTAATGAGAACATTTTATTAACTCAAATAACCCAGCCCCTTCCTATACCAAATAAATGAATTTTTTATATTCATGCTATTTTAAAATATTAGTCTTAGTCCATTTTCTGTTGCTATAACTGAATACCACAGACCAGAAAATTTATTAGCTCGTGGTTCTATCTTGTGAATATTCAGCAGCATGGTGCCAGCCTCTGATCAGGGCATTCTTGCTAGGTCATGACATGACAGAGAGCATCATATGACAAGCAGAGAGAGTAAGCTTGCCAGAGAAAGAAAACTGGCCTTTGTAATAAAATCACTCTGGTGATAATCCAGGAAACTATGACCTAATAACTTCCCAAGGTCCCACCTCCAAATATCATTAATATATGAATTTGGAAATTAAATCCAACACATAAAACTTGGAGGACACACTCAGACCACAGGAACTGACCAGAGTGATCAAGACCCTACTCATTCTGATATGTGGGGACTATTATTCAAATTATTTGCCTAGTATTATGTAAACTTACCTATTTATAATTTAACAACCTTTCTTCACTTGAATATCACTGAAGTCGCTTGAAAGACCTATTTATTCTTTTTGAAAGTTGGAGTGAGAAGATGTATCGAAGAACCCCACAATTACCTACCAGTTTGGTAATTTGCTACAAGGACTCACATGACTTAACATAAAGTTATATATAGCTTAAGATCTATTAAAGCAAAGGAAGTGGGGACAGTGACAAAAAAGATGTACATGAGCAGATTAGAGAAATCAGGCACAAGCATCCTGGGTCCTACTATTGTGCAGGTCACATTTTTCTCTCCAGTGGACAACAAAGTCATGAGCAAAAGATCTCTACTTCAAGAAGTCAATCTGAGTCTTGGGTCCAGGGTTCTTAATGGGGAAGTCTCATAGTTACATGACTAGTCATGGCTCAAACTTCAAGCTAGCTACTAGGTAGACATCAGAAATCATTGTGCTTACTTTAAACAATGCTGACAGCCTGGTATATACTTCCATACCACCTAAGGCCTACAGAACAATACCATTGCCTGACTATGCAAATATCCCGAGGGTTGAATCCTCAGGGCTTCATCTAGTGTCATTGTGCTAGCTTCCTAGAATTCTCAAAGATAAGCAAGAACTGAGTAAAACAATTTGCTGCATTAACACTCCCTCTCAATGTAGAATAAGAAAAATAGCATTCTCATATGTCTGAATTCCCAAAATCATACTTCAATGCCTTAAGAAGAAGAATAGAACTGACCTTCAAATGACCACAGCCCATGCTGTTTGGATAGAACAAGTACATTCTTGAGAGCATAGCAGTGGTCACCAAAGCCAGATTCAATCATACATACAATCAACTGATTCCTTGTCCCTGACCATTCCTAAAGCAAGGTTCCAAATGAAGTATCTTCACATGCCCAGTGAGGACTTCTCTTTTCACATGATATGTCCAATCCAGGTCTGTAACCACTTCAGGTCTTAAGATAAGTACTCTTACAATGACATTCTGTGCTTCCTTAATTTGCATTAATTTTCATTTTCATCTAGAAAAGTTTGCATTTCTTAATTTGGGAACTAATTTTCAAGAATAAAGTGGCTGCTGTTTCATCTTTATATTTGGCATACAGGGAGACATTGGTAAAGAAATGTATATCATCAAGCAAGGAGAAATTCAAGTTCTTGGAGGCCCTGATGGTGCCCAGGTCCTGGTTACTCTGAAAGCTGGGGCAGTGTTTGGAGAAATCAGGTATTAGAAGAATGCCTCATAAATAATGAAGTTTATTGCTTGTCATACATGGACAATGTTGGGTTATAAAATAAGTAAGTCCTTACTCGACATTACCAAAGGTTTGATTGTGCTAAATATTGCTCACGTTTCTGTTGATTTTTTCCTCTTCCCTCCTTCGAAAGACCTGAAGAAAGACATTAGGTTCGCTTTTTTGTCCCAGGACCTAGGTCAGTGTCCATCATAAAGTACATATTTAATATGTGTTGAATGAATATGTGAATGAATGAATGTTGAAAGAAAAGGCTGAGAGTTTGGCTATTAGATTATTGTAAAACTTGAATGCAAGCTAACAAGGAGGCTTTGAGTAGGTTTTAGAAATATGATCACTGCTGTGGAACTAAATTGCCTGAGTCTAAATCTCAATTCACCACTTCCAAGTTTTGTTCTTCTGTTACTTTATCCCTCTATTCCCTCATCTTAATTAGAATAATAATTGTACATATCTTTGAAGGACAGCATGGTGGTTTGGGTGGAGTGTCAATTTAAATGGCTTTGGAATCCATCCTGAGGATTTGTGGAGCACATTTCTGGTGTGTCTGGATGGGTCACAGTGGCATGGCCTTGGGTTTTATGCCTGGTCCCTTGCCCCCTCCTCTTTGGCACTGTTTACCTGTTCTTCTTCCTGGCTGACATGAACTGAGCACCTTTGCTACACCAGACATTTCCACATGATATTTCTGCCTTGAAGGCAGTTGATCGTGGATGAGCAGCCCAAAACCACGAGCCAAATTAAACATCTCCTCCTTTAAGGAGGTATTGGGCATTGTTTCCCAGCAATAAGAAAGTTAACACAGAAAATTGGTACCAGAGAAGTGGGGTCATTTCTGGTCGTATTCAGGATGGTTGTATTAGGTAGAATCATGAATTTGTCTTTATTTGGAGATTAAGTGTGACTTAAAATGTGTTTGGGTAGCAAGCTGATAAGGGGTGGGTGTGGTAGTTAGGATAGAGTGCCAATTTGACTGGCTATGGGATCCACCCAGAGTATTAATGGAGAACACTTCATGGGTGTTTGTGTGGGTCATGGAGGCATGGCCTTGGCCTTGGTTGCATGTCTAGTCCCTTACCCTTTCCTCTCTGGCACTGTTACCCTCCTCTAAAGAGCATATTTGCTCTGCAACGTCCTTCTGCCATGAGACTTCTGCCTAGGAGCCAGGTAACCATGGACTGTATATCACTAACCTATGAGTTAAATTAAACCTCTACTCCTTTAAGTAATAGGTGTTTGGTATTATATTTCCATGATGGAAAAGCTGACTGATACAGTTTGTTAATGAATTAATTCACTAAAAGCACTTAGACTAGTGTCCAGTATCTCTTGAAGCTCAATAAATATCAACTACTATTATCAATTTTTTCTATGGGCTAGGAGAATTTTATCCTAGAACAAGTAAGTCCCCAAGAGCAAGAATGTAGAGAGTAAATTTAAGAGTTTTGCAAGTTAAACGCTTCCATATTCAGTTCTACATTTGAAATTATTCATTATTCATCAAAAATATATATCTTTGTATGTCTGGTATGTGATAGATTGTAAATATAGCTCTAAACCCTGGGAATACACTTAAAAGCAGTAGACAAGAGCTGGGGATTTAGCTTAGTGGTGCCTTGCCTGCCTCACAAGCAAAAAGTCCTGAGTTTGATCCCCAGTACCAAAAAAAAAAATCCAAAAAGTAGACAAAATATTGCCCCACACAAATCTTACAGTCTAGTGGAGGAAACTGGAAAAAATAGTTGAACAATTAATTAGACAAGAAAAATTCCCATTATGATAACTGCAATGAATGCAAAAACTTATTAGAAAATGACAGAGGATAGTACTCTAGATATGATAATGAAGGCTGACCTCTTTGAACAGATGATATTTGACCTGAGGCTTGAAAGAGGAGAGGAGCCACTCAGAATGGGGGAAGAGACTCTCAAATGATAAAACAGCAGTGGCCTAGATGTAAAACTACCTTGTCGAGTCAAGGGGCAGAAAGGTCAATAGGCTGGAGCACACTGAGTAAGAATGGCAAAGAGATGAGCAAGGCCAAATTGTTCAAAGTGTTTTGGGCTATGGTAAGAAATTTGTTTTATGGTTAATACAAATGGATGCACTAGAGGGTTTTAAGCAAAAGAATGACACAATCTAAATTATGATTTTAAAGACCATTCCAATACCTGTATTGAAAAGAGACAGAAACGGAGCAGAAATGAAACAAAGGAAGCAAGGTGCAGTGACCCAAGTAAATGATAATTGAGAAAATGGCTGTTCCACACTGCCAAGTATCTTGCCTGGGATAGGACAGCTCATGGGTTATAGGGACAACACTCCAATTGGAGTCTTCATGAGTCAGCATCGTGAGATCTTTCCAACACACTGCAGAAGAAAGGCATGTGCTGAATCCCTGACTTCATAGTTGCAAGAAAGTTATCTTAGAATTCTTCAGACACAGGTAATTTCAGATGACTTCATATTAGCACAATTCAGGTTTCCTTAGAATGTCAAAGCATGTTATTTTTCTGATGATCATATGCTGTCCTTTTTAAATTCTCCCCTGGTTTCATGACTGGGTGCACACTCCTGTGAGAATTCTGCTCTGGGGCAGTGGAAGAAGTGCTTCTCATAATGTCAAAGACATGAGTTATTTGCCTATTTCTATTACTTCCTTACTGGGAATCCTTGCAAAGGTAATTTAATATTTTTGTGACTTAATAATCACTATTATCTTCAAGGTCATAAAACATGCAATGGCCTAATCTCAAACATTGCAGAAATTAATTATCTGACCTCTCCCAAGCATTGACTATTCCCTCCCTAAAGAATAAAACTTTATAAGTTCAGTATATTAATTGTTGATGTTATCATCACAGGAGGAAATACCTTAGGAATAAAATCCAGGTGCTGCTGAGTTGCAACTGAAAGTAGTCCTGGAGTCCTGACAGCAGTTTCTCAAATAATTCCCTTCTTACCCATTTGGTAGCTAAAGCCAAATTGAAACCAGCAGACTAGACATGCTCTAAACTTGCTCAATAATCTGATTGATTCTAGCAAATGGTTGTTTTTTGCCTTAATTCTCTTCCTGGCTTTGGCTGAGTAGAAACAAGATGCATGTTCCTGGTCCAGATACCCATGGGCTTCTCAGGCCCACAACTGTTCTCTGCCCCTGGGGCTCTACTCATTCATTCCAGATGGAGGCATGTCTGCCAAACATCCAGCACCTGAAAGATCAGAAATAGTGTTTACTACTCAGAAATGCTGTAACCTTTGTTAAAATGAGCTAAGTCCAGCACTATCATGTAACTTTTTAAAGAGGCTCCTTTTTCTCAGGAAAAAATAAGAAAGAAAAGAATTGAAAATTTTCAAAGACATTATGTATTAATCCACAAGAGCAAAGCCCTGACTAAAATACAGTTTTAGAGCCTGTCATGAAAAAAAACCCAGACTAAATTTGGGGGTGGGGTGGTGAAGGGGATTATTTATGAGACAGGGTCTTGCCATATAGTTCAGGCTGGCTTTGAACTCACTATGTAGCTAACCTCAAACCCATGGTGATCCTCCTGCCTCATCCTCCAGAGCATATTTCCAATGAACATCTGAAGAGTACAAATACCCCATTTTTAAAGGAGAGACCCAGAGTTTTCTGAGGGATGGCTTCGTGTTGGTTCTGACTCCATCACCCTTACACATACATTTAGGGTCAAGTCTTATTCACTGAATACTTACAACCACTTCCTGTCTCTCTCTCTGCATCTGTTAGAACCTCACTTTTCTTGAAATGTCTTTATTTTTACTTTTGTATTGCTGTTATGTTTCCAATAGGATTTCTTACTGATCTCATCTTACTTTGGAATGTCTTCTCCCTCTCTTTGAAGCCATCTCTAAACACCCCATAATAAATAGTAGCTACCTGTTTTATGCCTCCACAGCACTTAATTCATGCCTCTATTACAGTAATTACTACTGATATATACTCAATTTGTTCAAATAGGCTTTTTCAACAGACTGAGCTATTAAAGTATAAGAACTAGTACTTACCCAGTTTTATATTACCAGCAGCTACATGAAAACTATACAGCCCATGGTGATTTTTTTTATATCATGCCTCTGTAAATCAGCCATTCTGCAATTTTTTTTTTTTTTTTAGTTTTTTTGAGACAAGGTCTCACTGTGTAGCCCAGCCCAGGCTGACCTCAAACTTGCAGTGATCCTCCTGCCTCAGACACCTGAGTGCTGAGATCACAGGCCTGCACCATCACATCTGGCTCAGCAGTTATTAATTAATTAAGTAGTTAATTGTGTTTTGGTGAAAACAAAGAAAATTATATTCTGGCCCCCTTACAGTCAAAAGTGAGGGGTCTCAGAGAAAATGATGCCTCGGAGAAAATCCCTTCTCTGCCAGACACAATACCAGCCACAAGAGTGCCAAGGTATACAAGAAACATTTGCTCAAGGGCCTCACAAACAAGTGAGATAAGTAAATGAAAGATTTCAACCCAGGTGATTGTATCCAGTGATGAAAGTATAGTGTGCACAAAACTTTTTGGAGCAAATGATTACACAAAGACCAGTAGTGAGTCCTTCAGATTTGACATTTACTTGAGATTCTTTAGTGCGTTAGACAGCTTTCCATCACCACAAAAAATACCTGGGATAATCAACTTATGAAGAGAAGCGGTTGGTTTGGGCTCATGGTTTCAGAGGTCCCAGCCCATGATCAGTTGGATGCATTGCTTTTGGGGCTGTACTGTAGCACATCATAGCATGAGCATCTACCAGAGCAAAAGCCATTCATCTCATGGCCAGGGATCAAAAGAGAAAGAAAAGGAAAAGTCCGAGATTCCACAGTGTCCATTAAGGACTCCCACAGTCTCCCCACAATGACCTTGGAACCCCACTAGGCCTCTTCCCTTAAAGTTTCCACCAATGGCGCTGCCCTCGGGAACCAAGCCTTTACTATAGGGACTTACCATAGTGA